GTGAGTTGGATGGCCCTATAAATGTGTTTAATAAATTAATAAAACTGTAGGTCTGGTACTGTTGATGTCTAACTTTGTAAATTTCCTGTACATAGTTGTTTACAAAAGCAATTCTCTAGCTGAAGAAAGCCAGCTGCCATCTAGAAGCCCTGTAAAATAATTGAGCCTTTAACTGAATGCTACCCAGCACTGAGGTACCAATATATTTTTTTGTAAAGTATGAATCATTTGGCAATACTTTTATAATGTAGTTAACCTTGAAATGAAATTGCTTTTGTTTTGTTGCACAAAAGGAGGATGAAACTTAACTTTGATCTGTTTCATTTTCACATGTCTGTGTATTAGGCTAAATTTTGAAAACTTAGTAGCCATGAATAGTTTTTATTAACAGGAATATTAGTAGAATGCTGGTTATAGACGAAAGTTCTCTTCCATCCTACCTCTTCAGAGTTGGACCAAAAGAAAGTAACTTAACGGAAGAGAGAATTGCACCTTCATAAATCTGTTAGTTGCTTATGGGTTTATTTGCCCAAATGTAGGATTCAATATATGCATAAAATGAATAGAAGGAAGTTTTATCTCTTGTCCATTGAGCTATCATCTAGAAAATCATACCCGCCCAGTGGAAAAGCAGCCCTCCACTAGAATGAGAAATCTCCACTTATGCAACTTAAAACTTTTGTTTCAGACTGAGTTCTCTAACTCTACCTCACTTTTGGAAAGCAATGAGTTGTTACTTTCTTGCTAGTGTATTTCTAGATCAGGGGGTCACCAACCTTTTAGACCTCAGGGACCACCAAACTCATAATTTTAAATCCCAGGGACCAGTAACCGGTTCTGTGGGCATGGTCTAATTTGTGGGTGTGGCTTGGTCATGTGACTGGGTGGCCATGGCTTGTATGTAAATATAAATATTTATATAAATATTGAATTTTTTATATAAAAAGAGCAACTTTTACCCAAAATCAGGCAAAGAAGGCAGGCAGATTGAGTTGCTCACAGAACCACCGATTCATTCAGAGATCTCTATCTGCCAGTGGCTAGCTCAGTCTGTCACATAAAATTTGCTTGCAAGCAAACTCACAAAATTAACTCTAAATACATCATGTATGTAAATATTTATTTATTAAAAAGAGCAACTTTTACCCAAAATCAGGCAAAGCAGGCAGGCAGATTGAGTTGCTCACAGAATCATTCAGTGATCTATCTATCTGCCATCGGCTAGTTCAGTCTGTCACATAAAATTTGCTTTCTGTGAGTCTGCACTGAATAATAGAACCTTCAGTCCGAATGGAGGTTCGGCTGTGGTTAAAAGCAGAGCCGAAGATTTAAAGACTAGCTAGAAAGCAAGAAATCTAACCATTTCCTCCTTCCTAGCTAATCTAAATCTCCCAACACAGCAGAACAGCTGATGGTTGGAAAAAGGAAAAATAGCAATTTAGCAGGCAAGTTTGCCAGGTAAGGAGTGAGTGGGCAGGGAGGGTTCCCGTGAGCCATGTGGGCGGCGCAGCCTTGTGTTTCTGCGCAGCCTGGATTAATTGCTTTGGGGGATGCTCTGGGGGTGAGATTTCTCTGCGGCTCACCAAAATTTTCTTGCAGCCCACCAGTGGGCTGCAGCCCACCGGTTGGCGACCACTGTTCTAGACCATAGTCTATAATGTAAACTCTACCCACACGATGGGCTTCTGTCAAGAGATGGAGTCCACCTCATAAGGACTACATGGAAGACATCTCGTTTGATGGGAGGAAAATACAGGCAAAGAATCTACCTTTTCCTGAAATTGTCCACTCCTGCTAGCCTTGTTGCTTAAAAACACTAAACTTCAAATTCCTAAATGAGAGGGAGGATATAAATTTAATACAAAAAGAATAATTTCCTTTGGAGTCAGTGTGATTTATATCTGCATAATTTTCTACCAGCTTGTTAAGAGGATAAATGCACATTTACATGGCCATGAGGAGGAACCTTAGATTTTATATATGAAATAGTCAATATATAGTTTAAGAGTGCTATTGTTCATGTTCTAATCCATATATTTATTTAAAAGCTGGTTGAACTTGGTAAGCATACTTATGCTATATCTAGAGGCTCTTACCACAGTAGGAAATCTTATGTTTGTCACCTATCACTTCTTGCTTCAAATTTGACGTTTTTCTTGAATACAGAGTTTGCTGGTACAGAATCCCACATCAGAATTTTCTGAATTTGAGTTGATGGTGGTACAGAAATAGCTAGGGATTCTGCTCTGAATCATCGGAATTTAAAGCTTTTCATAAATTGTTTTTACATATGTTAGTAAAGGGCATATTTGAGGGATATTATAGCAAAACTTGTATTTATATGTTTTATTTTTCATTGAGATACCAGAACTTCATTAGAATATAGAATTTGTTACACATTTTCATGGTTAATCCTGCAGATGTAAAATCTTCAAGATTACGATGAGATAAAATTGATAAAGTAGTTAATAAAGGATGATGTGTTCCTAATTAATCCATTGTGCCTATAGTTGAAAATTAATTGTGCTATGGAAATGTCATGTTAATTAAGGCAGTATATGAGAGTACAATAAATCTTTTGCAAAAAACTTTAGTTATGTTGGCAACAGTAGGTTGATAGGTTAGTGCTTTTCAGCCTACCAAAGTCTCAATTTTTCAGTGATACCTTGATGATTTACTTGTTACTATAAAGTGAGGTTTTACAGCAGATCTTCAGAAATGCCATTCTCCCAGCAACATCCACAATCTGAATTCTGTAACTATATCAGCATACAGATGATTAGTTTATACATTGTATTTTCAACTACCGTATTTTTCTGAGTATAAGGCGCACTCCTCCCCACCCCCCAAAAAAGTGAGTGGAAATGTCTGCATCTTATACAGTATATATTGTGGTGGGAGGGGGAGAGGGTGGGTCGTGTGGCACCAATCAGCTGTTCTAAAATGGGCAGTGGCGGCAAATGGGCCACGGCACGAACGGGCCGCAGCAAACAGGTGGCAGTGAATGGGCCATGACAAATGGCTGCGGCGAATGGGCAAGATGAATACCATATGGATGCTAGGAGGCAGAGGCAATTTTTTAAAAAAATATTAATATAAATAGAAAGAGCAACATGTTAAAATCCATATATTAATAGAAAAAAAAATGAGGCAGATTTTTATTTCTTGGTTTCCTCATATTCTCATATTCTGTTCTATAATACGGAGCGTTTTATAGTCCCCCCCCAAAATATGGTATGTTCCGAGACAGATCCTGAACCATAGTTTCACCACAGTGAGAGTCATGAAAATAGATTGTATATTATGTTTATATCAAAATGGAATTTGTAACTCTCAGCTTATTTGTTCAATATAAGATTACCTATAATTTTGAATTATTTCCAGCTTCTCAAGGTGGTGGTTGTTTTTTTGAACATATGTGTAATTGCTATCAGAAGCCTAATCATGTTGTGATGTGTGTTGATTAAGCCTTATACACTCTGGAATTTAAGACTACAATTGAGTCCCGAATTTCCATTGCTAAATAATGCAGCCGTAAAGCAAGCCATCACATGACTGTATCATTTAGTGACTGCAATTTTGACACTCCCAGCTTTTTCTTATCCAAAAGTCATGAGTTATTAAGGAGATGGAATCCCACATAAAGTGGGGAGGGCTTGCCATTAAAGGGGGTTGGAAAGGCCCTGGGAGACCTGGTGCAGACTGCACATGAATTGAGGTGTGCTGTAGTGGTGCGCAAAACGACAGCCGGCCCAGCAGCACTTAGAACTTCAGGAGACTGCAACTTCCCTCATCTGCCACTCAGAAATGCCTTTTCAAATCGTACATTGCAGTTAGCCATAGCAGTAGCTTTGCCCAAAGCTACAGTTACCTCCACAGCCCTGCATTCCACAGGCTCTGCTACACTTAGCTGGTCTTTGCTGTTTTTCTCCTGCTACTCACAAGTTAGCAAAGGGGCATTACAACAGCTATAACTTTGGCCACAATTTGTATGTTTTCATCATAATTTTGAACAATTACTGAACAAATGTCATAAGTTGAGGGCTACCTATAGTTCCTTTTTCTTAATTTTTTCTTTTTCCTCCATATATAAATATACATATATACAGTATATGTATATATGTATACATACACACACATAGATACATATTGGTTATATATTATTTAATCTGTGTGTGTCTGTGTGTGTGTGTGTGTGTGTGTGTATACATACATACATACACACAGAGATAAGCTGCCCATTTAACACACAACTCAGAGCAGTGTAGAATGTCAAATAACAACTTCCCCAACACCATACAATTGAAAGGATTTGTTTTTACAAAACAATACATAAACTGCTCGAAAAAGCACCTCAAACAGGCCATACCACTGCCAGACTCAATGCCTTAGGAAAGAATCATACCTATGATGAAAGGCAGGCAGAATCAAGGCCTGTCGGATTTCAGGGGAATGCTGTTCCAAAGGATAAAAGCAATGACAAAAAATGTCTCAGATTCTCATTTTTTAGATTAAATGGCTAAAATTTCTGTTTATAAGAATCCTAATAAGATTTGAAAAGTATTTTATCATTGATGTTTTAAAATATCAATGTTTTGATTTTCATTTGATTTATTGGCATCCATAGTGTTACATAAAAGTGTTACATAAAAGATTATGTCTGCTATCTAAAAGGTTTTCTTACCCTGGTAGATTAACCCTGGTTAACTATGAATTTTATTTACCAAATAAGAAGGAGAGGAGATATTCAAAACCATATTGGAATCATGAAGTTGGAGTTATTATATGTGGTCTTAGCCAAAATAAAGGTGAAACAGAAAGGAATGGCTAGTGGAGAAACAGAAATAGCCTTGTCACTGTTTATCCTTTCCTTTATCCATTCCCACAATATTTATGTTGTGATTCATGTAACCAATATTATCGAAGAAATAGTGTTTTTTTAATTACCATTATTGAAATGCTAATACTACTGGAATTAATTGATTGATTTCTGTTTCTAGGTGGGCCATGCACAGATACAGCTCATGTTTCCTTAACCACAGCAACCAAAAGATCTTGTGATTCAGGTAAATTTTATTTTTAAAAGAATATATATTATGAAAGAATAATGTCCAGATCACTAGGCTGTTCAACTGACCTAGAGAAAGATCTCATTCATAAAACCCTTGTTTCTTCTATATTGCAAGCCATTACATGCCATTTTATGTTATGTGTTTAATAATCTACCATTGAAAGTGAAAGAGGTGGGGGAGGGTAAAGTCAGTAAAAACTAATCCTGCAAGTATTCCTATAGGAGCACCAATCAAATTCAAACAGCCCTCATTCTTCCCTCTGGAGGAAAAAAAGATAAAATAAGGACTTTATTAAAGCACTAACACTGTACGTTGCATTACAACTTCCATAATCAAAAGGATACCAGTGCCTTTTGCTTATATGTCTATTCTGAAGAAGATATTCATCTTCAGTGATGTAAACTGCTTGCTGGATAAAATGTTCCAGACGTTACTTCGCATATTACTCACTAGGAGATGCATCATTGACTTCTGAATTCACCAGACAAACCATTCTTTCCAAGGTGAGGTGGGAAGCAATAATTTGTAATGTCCTCCAACGTGGCAAATTAAATAATATGAAGTGAAGGATTAATTCCTTCATACCACATGACCTGATTTGGCAAGCCTGTAAATTGAAGGTAAAAGTGAAGTTTGAGCTATATTCAACCCCTTGTCCAGGGGTGGGATTCAAATTTTTTAACAACTGCTTCTGTGGGCGTGGCTTAGTTGGTGGGCATGGCTGGGTGGTCATGTGACTGGCTGGGTGTGGCCAACTCAACATCACTTACATCGAGGCACACATCTCGCCTGGCCTCTCATGACTTTGGGGATGCTGCAACAGTCGTAAGTATGAAAAACGGTCATAAGTCACTTTTTTCAGTGCCATTGTAACTTTGAATGGTCACTCCACACAAGCAAAGTACCAACGAAGGAGGAAAACAAAACTCCAGAGAAGTTCCTGAGACAGGAAGTCTAGTCCTGCCAAGAATGTAATAAGGGTTAACCGAGAGGCAGTTTCCGTAAGCAACATCAGAATGTTTCCTTCCTGCCTTCCTTACAGGATTAAACCAGTAATTTCTTCTAACAACCGGTTCTCCGAACTGCTTAGAATGTTAACTGGTTCTAGTGAATAGGTACGAACTGGTAGAATCCCACCCCTGCCATTGTCACTACCTAGACATATTCATGTTGTTTTCTTCACAATACAGAAGTGTTTGCATTCTTTTGGGATCTTTTTTGAGTTCTCATTCTTAAAGCCTTGCAATTTCCCATCCAAGTATTAACCAAGATCATTCCAGCATAGTTTTATCAAAATCCAAGGATTACATGTCTACAGATGTTATGATTGATTTTTTTTTAAAAAAAATACTGAAACCCAACAGGTAACCTTCAGTTAGCAATCACACAGAATTACATTCTCAACAATTGTTTATGTATAATGTAAACACAATAAAATATATTATAGAATTCAAATTATCCTCACCTTCAACAAAATCTGAAATCGATTGGAGTTGGGAAGTGTGATTTTGTGTCAGTCGTTCTCTCTCAGCCCAGTGCATCTCACAGGGATATTGCAATGAAAATAAGAGGGTAGAAATATTAGGTATGTTTACCACTTTGAATTATATATAAAAAGATAGTATAAACATCTAATAATATAGTAATAATCTTAATAGTCTATGTTGATTTGTTAATTATGCTAAGACATGATATAGCAGCTACTCTTAAGGCACTCCATATAAATTTATGACAGAACTCTGAGGGAAGAACCCCTAAATGCTTATTTTAAAAGAATTTTAAACCCCCTTTCTCTGATAAACTCTGCATCATCTTGTAAGTTGTGAAAATGAAAAATCCCTAAATACAGATTTATGAAACATCTGTATTAATGTCAAAAATTTTCAATTAATTTCAAAATAGTAAAATTAGTATATTCTTTTTCAAATGCATAAGGACCTTTGGTATTCTAAGGCAGGAGTCTCCAAACTTGGCAACTTTAAGATGTGAGGACTTCAATTCCCAGAATTGCCCAGCCAGCATGACTAGCTGAGGAATTTTGGGAGTTGAAGTCCACAAGTTGCCAAGTTTGGAGACCTCTGTTCTAAGGCATTTCAGGGAAATGTGTTAACATTGAAACTCAGTACAGATTCCCTGTGCCTTTCTAGTTTTTAAATAGTATTGGAAATTAAACTGCTTCTGTTCATTTAGGGTCAGAGGAGAAGGTGGTACAATCATTGTACAAAAATAAAATTAGTATGCCATATTTTTTTCTTCATTTGGGATTCATGAGATTCCATTGCCTTAAATCCATAAGGATTATGGCAATATACAAAGAAGATATATAGAGCCAGTTTGGTCTAGTGATTAAGGCACTGACTAGAAAGCAAGAGACCATGAGTTCAAGTTCCACCTTAACCATGAAAGCCAATTGGGTGATCCTGAGCCAGTCATACTCTCTCAGCCTATCTCACTTCACAGGGCTGTTGGGAAAATAGAAAGAGGAGGATCCATTGGATATGTTTGCCGCCTTGAGTTATTTGTAAAAATAATAAAGGTGAGAAATAAATAAACAATGAAGAAATAAACAGTTCTTCCAAACTAAGTACAAATGATGGTAGCTGACATCAACCATCAAGATGTGGCAGAAAACAATGATTATCCCTTGATGTTAATATAAGTAACCTGAGGTCAGCTGGGGGAGGCAGGCACAGAAAGTGGCAGAATGCATGTGGGAGTTTAAACAGAGGCAAGTATGGCAGGGTGGCAGAGCCTCGTTTTCTGAAAGGAGCATGATAGGCCCAGCTGGAAAGGAGGCAGTGGGACAAAGCAGTGTTTGCACAAGGCAGGAGAAGTGTGAGGGCCTTACCTACAGGATGGCCTTGACCTAATGACCACAACCTGCCAGAACCACTGTCACTAAGCAGTGAGGTCGTGTGATGTTTCACCTAATGACCACTTCACTTAGCAGTGGAAATTCCAATTTTCAGTTATGATTATTAAGCAAGGACTACCTACAGAAAGCACAGAAGTTATAATTCCATAATAATTATCCTTTATTAAGTCTTCAACTTACGACCACAATTGAACCCAGAATGTATGTAGCTAAGTGAGAAATTTGTTAAGTGAGTTTTGGCTGATTTTACAACTTTTCTTGCCACGGTTGTTAAGTGAATCACTACAGCTGTAAGATCTTACAATTAGTAAGATGGTTGTCAAGTGAATCTGGCTTTCCCCGTTGACTTTGCTTGTCAGAAGGTCATAAAAGATTATCTCATGACCCTAGGATACTGCAACCATCTTAAATACAAACCAGTTATCAAGCATCCAAACGTAAATCATGTGACCATGGACCACTGCAGCAGTCATAAGTATGAAAAATAGTCATAAGTCACTTTTTTCAGTGCCGCTGTAATTTGAATGGTCACTAAATGAACTGTTGTAAGTTGAGGACTACCTGTGGTATTTATCTAGATTGAGGGCAGAAGCAATGATAGAACCTTTAACAGTTCTGGTGGTGATGTTTTGCTTTGAAATTGTGGAAAATAAATATAAGTGAAGTATCAAATTCATTGATTATTGAAATTAACTATGCTTAAATTTTTGCTATTCAAATTTTACTATACAAAATCAGCAAGGAAAAACTATTGCTCTACAATAGTAAAACTCTTGCTTTTATTTAAAAAACACAAGTTAACTTCAAAAAGAAAGAAAACAACAACTAAGTAAGTCTTGTTTAGTTGACCTTTAAGGTGCTGTTTAAATAACTTTTTAGTATTTGACTGATGGAGGACACTAAGTTACAAATCCAGCTATCCCTGTGCCTTCACTATTAGACATGGAGTACTAGTACAATAATGTAATGTACATCATCAGTCCTGTCAGTGACAGTACCCATTAATGACACATTTTTTTCTTCCTCTGCTCAGTTCTCATTTGTACTAATGGAATGGCACATGAAGCAAAGCTGTAAATAAAAGTTATTACCTAATAGGTAGGCACTGAAGTGGAACCTACAGGAGCTGAGGCATAGAAACTGTATTACTGCTCATCAGCAATTATAAACAGGATGAAGTGTTTAGGACTTACACTGACATAGCAAAGATTATTTGAGGCTAGGACATGATAATGGATCAAGGTAGCATGATGGATGTTGATGAAATTTTGTCCCATCTTGCTGGCTACCTCCAATATTAGTTGTGCTTCTCTTATTTTCATATAATTGGGGGAGACTGGATTTTATCCAAAAGATGGAAAGATGGCTTATACATTGGATTAGATCACAGGAGTTATATCCTCTTTAAAGATAGAATATGTTATGTGCGCAGATCTGGACCTACATGTTAGGGCTTTACCCCAGTTGCCTTTCTCTTCACCCCTCCTTCATTTCTCTAACGTCTGTTTAAAAGGTTATTTCAGTTCATCCTAGCAGATATTGAGAATGTGTCAGTCACCTCTCTGGTACCCTTTCTGCTAATTGTAGACATTTTGCTGACAGGTGGAGTTAATTGGATAATACTCTGTACACAGATATCACCCAGGACTTTAGCAAAAGATTATGGAACATTATACATACAGATATAGCAAGATTGGACAGGTCTTTTTAAAGACAGGATTGTATGTAATTTTGAGCTTAGAAATGGAACACATTTTAGGAAGTTAGTTGGGAGATGTAATGGCTGCCCAATTCCAAAAAGAACATGTGCGACTTACAGTATTTAATGAACAATACTTGTATTTTTGAACGTTAGGAATGATTAAATGGAATCAAATTGTTCTGTAAATAAAAAGAATTAAAAAGGGAGAAAAGCTAAAGAATCCCGAGTGTTGGGCAGCAGTAGACTAGGATTAAACAAACTATCACAATATAATGAACAAATGTTTATGTTTTCCAATACGTTAATTGCAAGTGGAAAAATGAGGGAAAGAGAAAAAAAATCAAAGTATCAAAATAAGCTAGATGTCACAGCTTTTGTGATTCATAATTAAGCTCACTCCCAAGGTGAAGATTGCAGTGTTACTGAATGTCTGTTAGGAGGTTTGGATATAGAGGAAAACTAAAAACAGCATTACCTTTGTGCTAGCAAACATGAATTATTTTAGGATGTTATTGTGAAATAGTATGAGCGCATCAAGGAAATGGAATTGTTGCCCATCTTCCCATTTTGAAGTTTGGTAGGTATAGATCGGATTTCTCTTTTTCCTTTTCTTTTGCTGTTTAGGATTGTTTAAACTTTCTAGAAAAAGAAAATGCAGGGCTTCTGGAGGTCTGCGGTTTCCTTTTTAACAAACCACCCATTACCCATAAATGAAAAAAATGGGTAAGGATTATGTAATTGGGCATTGTTGGCACTAGGGAAAATGCAGAGGATAAAGTGCCATATGTGGGCATTGTATGCGAAACTCCAGCACTTAAGTTAATTTTATGGGAAATTATGTGGGCTATAAATCCAAACTCTGTGTTTTTATACCAATTGCCATAATTTTATGTCTATTACATTTAATTTTTTAATTTTGTTTTTTTTTTTAATTTTGATAATTTGCTAAGTAAATTTATATGGTGCATGTACTGTAAGCCTCAGAATCAGAAGACTGAAGTGGTAAAGTAGCATTTATGATGATCACTGGCATATAATTACATTTTGCCCAGGATTAGGCTAATATTAGCATCTCCGAGCATGAAATTGAAATTCAGCCACATTGCTGTTTAATTACAATATCTCAGTAAGCATGCTGCAACAAATACTGAAGCTTTAAAGATCACATCCTTTGCTTTCCAGTTGTACTAGATTAAATGTCTTTTACTCTATTTTTTTTTAAAAAAATTTCATAGTCTTGTTTTGTATACCCAATTTCTAGGCCTATCATGGTTAGTATATCATTTGTTCAGCTGTTATTAAGCTCTTTTATTGAGGTATTTTAAATCAATAGCATTACGTTGCATATTCGTAATCGGTAACAAACATCACTTTCTTTATGAATATTTATTTTATTTTATTTTATTCATTAAATTTTTGGCCGCCCATCATGCTACAGGGTAACCCTTGGCGGTTTACAATATTAAAAGCTAAAACAATATAAATGAAATATTATAAAAATAAAACTGCAAAGTACAAAATACTTTGTTAGGAACTGACTTAAAAATCTATGCAAACTTTTCCTTGTAAAACTACTTTACTGATATAGCTTTTCTTATTACAGAAATAGTTTAATATATCATTAATACACAAACACACACACACATCAATATCCACCCCCACCCCAGGAGAGTACTAGAAAAAGAAGGGGTATCAGACTCTCAATTTTTCTGTCCACTAGCTGGATAGTTCTCCAAAAACAAAATGGAATGAATCAAAATGTTGATACAGAAAATGCTGACAAACACATAAGCCAACAAAATAAACTAAATACTTCCTGGAGTTGTGGAGAAAATTGTTCAGAAAATATTTCTCAATTATATCCCTATGGGAAACTCTGTTGGGCCACCAGTTGGAATATTTCTGGCTGCTCCATTCTAGGCCCTTTAGCTCCCATTTCTCATTATATTTCCCAGAGTAAAGCATTTGTGCTCACCTTGTGCTACTTGGTGCACATACAGATGCAAGCACAACACGAGGTCAGATGTATCTACAGATACAAGTTAGTTCATTCAGCAAAAGAAAATACAGACTTAGGGTGGTTCCTCTAAAGCTGCTAACCACAAGTTAACAAGCTCAATTCTATAACCTTAATCAGCCAGCTTGCAGCTGCTAACTGTAACTGACAATACTTTAATCATTTTCACACCTAAACTGTGTGTTTCCTAAATGGCTTATGGGCTCTGAGCTGCCAGCATGCTAGGCAAATAGCTTGTGCTAGCACATTCTTTTCATGTGTACTCCCCAATATGTGCTTGCTTACACTCTTGCATTTTACTGTATTCCAACAGTAAATAATATTATATAAATACTATTCTTGGATGTACAATATATAAGCCCCAGTTTGTGCAAGTTGGAAGAAAAGTTTCCAACTCCATTCTTGAGTACAGGTTCCCCATAGGGCAGTGTCTTGAGTCTGCTACTGTTCACCTTAATGACCCACGACTGCTGTGCTGGATCTGCTATGAATCACATTGTGAAGTATGTGGATGACACTGCAGTGGTAGGTCTTATTCAGGACAACAGTGAAGATGCTTATAGGGAAGAGGTGAAGGCTCTGGGGGACTGTGCAATAAAAGTAACCTGATTCTAAAAGTTAATAAAACAAAGGAGATCGTTATAGATTTTAGAAAGAGTCGGCATAGTTATACTCCACTAAGTATCAAGGATGCAACAGTATTAAGTATCTGGGGGTACAGATAATTAACAATCTGAACTAGTTTCTCCACACGTCATCCTTAGTGAAGTGTGCAAACCCGTGCCTGCATTTCCTGCATTGGATGAGGAGAGCACATCTTTCTTCTTCTGTCCTGGCACTTTTTACAGACGCAAAATTGAGAGTGTTTTAACAAACTGCATCACTGTTTGGTTTGGGGCTGCAGTGCCTCAGATACAAAGTCCATACCGAGAGTGGTAAGGACAGCCAAGAAGATTATAGGAATCTCACTTCTTGTTATTCAGGATACTGCTTATAAGCATATGCTTAGAGCTCAAAGCATTGTTGTGAGACCCCACACACCCACTTTACGGTCTGTTTCTGTTCCTTTCCTCTGGGAGGAGGTTTCGAAGTATTTCTAGCAGCACTACCAGATTCTGTAACAGCTTTATTCCCTTATGCCATCCATCAGATAAATTTGCAAGATTCATTTTTTTCACCCATGTATATGTATATATCTGAATTAAACTGTGTTGTTTCTTTGTGTCATATAATATATGTGAATATTTTTCTATTTATTTTGTCATGTTTATGTAGTGTATATTAGAGGTGGTGACCTTTTGAGAGCTGTATGCAATGAAATTTCATTTAAATGTATGCCGATTAGTGTACATTCAAAGTGACAATAAAGCTATTCTGTTCTAATTTCTATTCCTATTCCGTTCCATTCTATTCCATTAACTAATAGAAACTTAATTCTCTTCTTGCTATTTATTGTAGCACTGGGATGAACATTCCAAAGGGTAGGAAAAAAGGGCAAAAAACAAAGCTGAAATAAAATTGTATGACATTCATGGTCATGTGATTGTTTCATTTAGCAACTATATCGCTTAGCCATTGAGTTGAAGGTCCCCATTTAATTTAGCTTATAGAATATGATTGTAAGACACTGCCAATCACCTCTTCTGAACATAGACAAAAGGAACACCCTCGTCTTTAAAAAAATTATATGATCACATATTTCACTATAGTAGAAATGACAAGGTGTGTGTGTGTGTAAGAGGGGGGGTAAATTTGAAAATGCTTTCTTACTGTATTCTGATAATCTACATCTTTCTGTCAAAGTTTTGCAAAGAAATGTGTTTTCCTGTTTATTTTCTTACTCCATAAAGAAGGAATACAAATATGGTTTTAAAAACACATAGTAATTGATGACAAGTTTTAAGGAGATCCTTTGAAGCTTTTAAATAAAGAACAGCATATACCGGTAGATGTTGTGTTTGGTTTTTCATGCCTTTGTATAATCATTTACATTTAGATTGTTATCCTCAAAGAAAGGAGGAAGCTCAGTATGGTGCTTTCATATGTTTTTTGTTATTGGAGCTACAGCTAATACATTGTACACTAAAATTGTGTTTCATTAAATGCAACGCTGGTTTGCATGGGGACACTGGAAATGAGATTGTATGTGAAAATCTATAAACAAAGGCTATAGTTAATAGATTAATGCATTTATCTATGTGTCATAATCAAGTCAGTGACTAGTTTGTTTTGCATTTGATTTCTGAATTTAGGAGACACAAAGTTTTCTTGTGTTTTTACGTTTCAAAAAGTATGTGCAAACCCAAATAGAAAGGAGCCTACTATTTGCTTTTTTTTTTTTTCAAGTTGTACACAATTAATGACAACTGTGGCTGAAGTAGAACTCCCACTAATGCTGCATTCCAAATGTTTCCCAAAACTAATAGAGTCACAGGTGGACAGCGAGCCCTCTCCTGAGAAGCGGCCACGGTTACTTGAGGACGGTCATGATAGACCGGAAGAAATCAGCCGTTCCAAACAGAAGAGCAGACGCAGGTGTTTCCAGTGCCAAACAAAATTGGAGCTGGTACAGCAAGAGCTGGGATCATGTCGCTGTGGTAAGGACTGATAAACAGATTTGAATTAAGATTTCTTTAATGTCCCACCCAGTGAAGAATAATATGAGCTACATTGTTATGGTAAAAAAATAATAGCAAAACTTGCACAATAACTTTAAAAGTCTAAATAGCAATAGCACTTAGACTTATATACCACTTCACAGTGCTTTATAGCTCTCTCTAAGTGGTTTACAGAGTCACTATATTCCCCCCAATAATCTGGGTCCTCGTTTTACCCACCTTGGAAGGATGGAAGGCTGAAGCAACCTTGAGCCTGTGAGATTCAAACTGCCAAACTGCTGGCAGCCGGCAGTCAGCAGAAGTAGCTGCAGTACTGTGCCACCATGACTAATCTGACAAGGTCAACCTTATCACTGTGTTTAATATTTTGTATGTAAAGAGAGGGGGATTATAGATTTATTTTACTTATGGGGTTAGCTATTTAGATTTAGCAAACTATTGAAATGTCTTATTTTTAGTGACAGTTCTGAATATCGTCTTCTGTCATTAGATATAGCAGTCATATGAAGCTGCCTTTTTTCCAAATCCATCTATTCTATAGATTATTGTTCTAACAACATCTTTCAGGGGCTCCAGACTGATATTTTCAACCATTCTAGATATTAAATCTGGAATTTTGTGAATGTAAAGCATGTATTATTCCCCTGAGTTAAGTGTCTTCCATAAGCCTTTTGTACAGTAGTTTTAAAAATCTTATGTCCAACCCAGAGGGTAAACATACATATAAAAGGACATATAAGTTGCTGACTACATACCTGTTTAAGATTGACTACTTACAGGACTCTGTTTAAAATATTGTTCTTGGGTTTCCTCAGTAAAATACAAACTAAGACAGTAAAAACTGCTTAAACATGACTATCTGAGATATTTATTGTTATATTAGTGCATTTGTCAGAGTTTGATTAAGGGCACTTGCTGACACTAAGGCATTCTAGATATAAAATTTGTCTCAATAAAAGAAAGGTGAATATAGTTGTGCTTGAAAATATTCCAAGTCTGTTAGCTTAATTAACAGTGCACTTAGTTTTTGAAACAACCCAATTAGGTTAAAAAATAATGCTTGTTTGCTTGGTTGAATCCAATTGCCCAGCAAAAGCTCCATTGGTGCTGGAGAAGAGCCAGCAGTATTCTCTGACTGCTTTTCTCTGGGGCTGTCTTCAGAGACTACCACCGTACTATGTTGGTTGAAAAATATTTTCAAATGGTATAATATTATAGAAGGGGTGTGTGTGTGTAATATTGTACGAAAAAAAGAACTTCAGGGAAAGTCAGGGAGATTTGGAAAGAATTCCAATCTGCCCCATTCTTCCAGTAGAGATATTGCTGATCCCAGTTTCTTCCACGGAGGCATTTTTCAGAGTAGCATTTGTTGATCTCTACCTTTTTTCATATATTTCTCTGAAAAGGAGCCATTTGCTAGATATTTTTCAAAAATTATAAAGCCCACTCCTCCAATTTAATTATTAAAGATCATAGCATCCAAATATTTTCACATCTGATATTTTTTGTTAGGGGGAAGTCCCAGCTGTGCAATATCATGCTTCAGTGGGGCTATGGTCATAGTGGTTGAATATATTCCTTTTGTGCTTAATATTTATGTTTGATAATAAAGCTGGCATCTGTCTCTTGAATACATATGAGGAAATGTATCAACCCCCTACAACTTTATTGTATTTAATGTATTCATTCTTTAAAAAGATGAATTTCTTAAGGGGGTGATTGCCATTTTTGCCTAAATATGTTGCTGCATTTAGAGATAATACTAGAAAATACTAGTCATGTCAGGTCTGCTGAAAAATGACTAATTTTAATACTATAAGTATTTAAAAATCTACATACTGCTACATAAAGATTTGGAGGCAAAAGTTCCATTCATAATTGGTACATAGAGTTAATAATTTTCAAGAAGGTGTTTAGTATTAAGATTAACAAATTAGAAAATATATTTGTTATATTAAAATATAGACATTGCTGTTTTTTTCTGTTTGAAATGCTACTCACCTGCTTTAGAATACATTTTCTTTATCTCTTGCAGAACCCAAGTTTTCTTACACTAGCTATGAGAGATAACATGAGTTTATCCATGTGAATAGTGCAAATCTCAGTATAAGTGGAGACTGGAATTTTGTTTCTAGTTAATTCTGAACTATTGCTCTGTCAACTGGAAAGTAGACTTTCCAAATGTCAAAAAAATACCCAGTAACCCTAGAAACATTTATACTATTCTAAAATGTATGTTTTATCACTGTTTTTTTTCTTTCTAAAGGATATTAGTAATTGTTTTCCCAATTTGTAAAAACATATTTTGATTCTAGTAATGGTTGTCATATTCACCTAAAATGGGTAATTTTATTTGTTTATTTATTTTGTGCCTTTGAGATAGCTTTTGTTTCCTGGTGATTGCCTGGATAAATCACTGCAATTTTCTTGGCAAGGTTTTTTAGAAAAAGCTTGCCTTTACCTTCTTAAGCCAGCAACTAGCTCAAGCTCATCCAGCTGTCTTTGTGCCTAAGATGGGGACTAGAACTCATGATCTCCTGGTTTCTAAGATGATGCCTTAACTGAAAATCTTTAAACCTCAATTATTTCATAATAAAATTATCTTGGTTCTGTTTTTATATTGTTTGCAATTTGTATAGTAAAAACAATAGTAAGAATTTGTGTACATGTACTCGCTCCTTTTCCTTTAGGTTTTATTTCCGTTTTTGTATTACAAATTTCATTCAGGGGTAGTAACAAAAAGCTAGTTATTATTCTCCAAGTAGTATAACATGCTAGAAGGACAATCTAATACTTCCCTAATAGCATAAAGTTGTAATAAGAAAAAATGCAAAAAATTATCTGCACTTTTTTTTTTTTTACTTTGCATTTTCTTCTTAACTCCTTGGTAGACAATCACTTTACAATTGGTGGAGCCGTAAGTCTTCTCTGTCCTGGTGCCTGTGTTATGAAACACCCCCCTCCCAGATTAGGTCAGCGCTATCTATTTTGATGTTCTAAAAGTCCTCAAGACTTGGTTATGCTACCAGGCCTGGAGGTCCCAGAAAAACAGAGACTTTTTTATATGGCTCCACTATTGAGGTGGATGTTCTCTCTTGTTTTCTCTCTTAATCTCCATTTTTAACTATAATTTTTATATTTTAAGATGCCTGTTATGTTATTTTTATTGATTATTGTACGCCGCCCAGAATCACTTCTCATGAGATAGGCAGCTGTATATTTTTTATTAATAAATAAATAACTGCAGATTTTAGAGTCCACTGTGTACTTTACTCATTCATTCATCATATTATGTGTCTCAGGTATCAAAGATAATCTGAATTTATGGGGCATACCCAGACTATTATATGATAAATTAAATTTCTACCTTTACACTCCAAACTTAATGAATTACAGACAAACTGGATATTGACACTGATTTTATAGGTACTATAACTGATAATGGGAACTGTTGTGCTTTGTTTTTATTTTCACTTTTTTATAATTTGTGCAAGACTTGTCCTGAACATCAATCTTATGTGAGGTAAAATCTGGACGATGTTATTGGTTTTGTAACATAATTGCAAACATCATTAAGATATCATTTTTATTCATTTTCATGTATTTGAAGATAAGCAATTTCATTTTTATGTACTAAAGATTAGAATCTGAAATAACTCATCAAATTACAGAAATGAGTTTCAGTAAATGTTAGGAGAAATCAATATATTCTCTATAATTTTAGGGCTGCAGTGTTACTCTATGGAAACTCTGATATTTATCTTTCTATATTATATAATCACATTGAATATTAAAAAATCCCATGATCCAAAAGTGTCTGTTGCAGATATGAAGCATTTGGGGGCCATGTCTTACCTAGCTAAATGCCTTCTACTGAATTATTCTAACACTGAAATTAATCCAAATTCTCTCTTTGTCACCAGGCAGTAATTTGTAAGATGGGGGGGGCGGGGGGCAGGGCAGGAAAGAATCAAAGTTTAAATCATCCTTTTCTGCCACTAGTCAAGGATGCTTCAGAATTATTCATATACTGTTCTTTGTTGAGAATATCTGAAGCATAAAATTTTAGTTAAATTATTGCTGTTTTAAATTCAGCAGTGGTAATAATGGTGCAGGATTATTGTTTCTCCTTCAAAACAATTTTCATTGTTATGAAGTATTTAAGGTATCTGAATATTAGCATTTTTATTCTATTACATTATGAGTATTTAAGAGGATTGTAGGACTTGGAAAGAGGATACTCCAAATATTTTACTAAAGAGTCAGCACAAAGATCCTTGAAATATAAATTCAGAATGTCTTTCTTCAAGAAATAATTCCTTGTGTATACTGACAGTTTTCTACTATTCAGTATGGGTTATTAACTGCTGACAAGAAATTCACATCTCATAAATAATTCTTAAGAGCCATTGCTGTATAAATTGAATGTGTTATGAATTGTGATGGTTCTTTTTGTACTGTGCTGTGCCTAGAGCAGAAAGAACAGAGTATGTCATTTCCATTAATTTCTAATGAGGTACCAATTAAAGGAAAGGAAGAACCTCAGAAGGAAAGTCATAGGGCCACCGTGAATCTTCTATCCTGCAGCTGTCAGAGAAGCAGGCCCCCAAACCTTCCCTAAAAATTCCATTAAATTAACAATCTCATCTAGTGCTTACACAGACAAATTCAGTTTCCCTTTGATTTTCAAAAGACCAATTTGTAAGATGAGTTCTGCATTTTCTCACCCAGCAAACTGGGAGAAGTAAGGGGAATTGCTAATTGCCTCTGCACATTTCAGGCTGAGGAAGAAAATGTGGAAGCAACTTTTCATTTTATATGTCTTTAACTAGCTAAACTTTAAATCAAGAATCCTGGAATAATTCCACTTTCTTGTATATGATTTTTCTATATGCCAGTTATATCACACATATGTTGACAACAATAACCTGCAGTATTTTATTGGACAAGCTTCTATGTAGTTTAATACTACATTGGAT